TCTCATTGATATCCATATTGATTCGAGCTCCGTTTGATCACTGAATTCCAAAAGTTTGCAAGGTATATTTTGGTCTACGTAAACACACACACCACCACCATCACCACCACCAGACGTTTCAATTCGGTCCCTGCGGAATAAATTATAACCGGGAATAGAAATGGATGAGTCAGGAATTTCTGGCGATAACCAAGTTTCGGTTATACAAATAGCACCAACAGAATTCAACAGAGCTATTTGTTCAATCTCATCTACTTTCTTTGGCAGGGACCTCACATTCGCAGATAGAATGGTGGGAATATCATACCTTTTAGGGATTTTTATCTTTTTCAAATTTTTCAGAGCATGATAGTTGACTGCTCTACCTGGATTCTGATACGGGCGTCTCTTACGTCTAGTAATTCTTGTGGAAATTTCATATGTGGGATTTTCTATTACATGGGGCTCTGATTGATAAACTGAACTACGTGTTATTGTGAGACAGTTATTCGACGTACCAGATCTAGATGTTCGATCCAATCTGGGTCCTTTCTTTGTATATGATACCAGAACCATGGGACTTTGATGTTTTGGCCTGTTTTGGTAGAGGTTTGGTAATAGTAATTCTCTCGGTCTCGTTCTTGGGATAGTCGGGCACGAGAACGTTTTCGGGGGCGCTTTCGAAAATAATTCCTTCGTATTTGTCCATTTTGTTGTTCCGATCTCTGTAAGTTTACTTTGAGAGGTGGAGAGGTCGGGTTAAATCGTTTATTATCAAGAAGTGGTAAATTGTGGTCGATAATATTTGTCGATTTCTTTGCATACGAATCAACTTTTTTATGTTGGTCACCGTGGGAGGTTTTTACAGGCGAAACATGCTTAGGGTCATAATTAGTTAGTTCTACGTGGCTAGACAATAGAGAATTGCTCGTTGTAGGAGAATTGCTGGGGGAGATCTCATTTGGTTTTGGATTGGGAATTTTGATACTAATTAATTCTCTCAGGGAGTCATTCGTCGCCTCGGTGGCTTCAGGATTACATTCAAGTGAAGCATTGATTATTTTTGACATTCAAGTGAAGCATTATTTCATTAACCTCACGAGTTCGCCCTTTAATTATTTTGTGCATCTGGATCATGAATAAGGTCATAATTAATTTGTTCTTCTAGGCTAGGCAAGCACTGAGTATCTCCCACTGCAGGGACATTGCTGGGGAGAAACTCGTTTGGTTTTGAATTGGATATTATGGTATTAATTAATTGTCTCAGAGAGTCATTAGTCGCCTCGGTGGTTTTAAGTTTACATTCAAGTGAAGCAATGATATCGTTCATTTCACTTACCTTACGGGTTCGTCCTTGAATTATAAGGAACAAATCAGCTTCAAGGCGCTCGGTTTTCAGCCGGTTCACCTGATCGGCTCGGGATTTACTAGCACATCCGCTAACCAGAGCATTGTTCTTGTCTAAGCGGTTTGAACTCTCGAATCCCACTTCAACCACTGAATCCGGTTCTACAATATTGCTAAATGTACAATAAGACATAGACATATTGTTTGGATTCTTGCTTTCGTCTAATAAGTAGGTAGATTTCGAAAGGCGGTTATTTTGACTTGCTATAGCATGAGCGGCTTCGATCAACATATCCGAAAAGGCAGGACCTGCTTCACCGTGTAGTATAAGGGAGTTTAGTTTACCCGGGTAACAAGTAATAGAGATAACCGGGCCATGACATGAAAGATATCACATTTGGCTTTACCTCTTAAAATATAAAGGACTGTTTGTCGTTAAGCTCACCTGTGATCCTAGGATAGAGTCCAGCAATTACGACGATCATTTGGACTCAAGAAAATAACCCCGTTTGCTCGTGTTTAATGCTTCGGTTCCTTATTGAAATCTTTTATCTATATTCAAGCAGATTCATTAAATAATTGTTAAATCTAGTAGTTCCATTGCATAGACTTCCATTTGTGGTTGAGCAGTGTGTTCGGTGTACCCTTGATGCACTACGATAAATACCGTATAGTTTTTACAGAAATGGCGAAACCAGATGTTTTAGTTCAAGTTGGACTACTGCAGGCTTCTGGCTCAGTATCCTCATTATGAACAAACATATACCCACATCGTTCGCACTGCACATCCACCAACGGTTGTTAAGGCTTTTAAGAGGACCTAAAACCCCAAGGGCCACCGAGAAGGAGGGGGAGGGGCCAAGGCGGGCACTTTGCACCAGGCTCCGAGTTCAACCCCGGCAAAAATTTGTTCATGAGGTAATGAACTTTGATGGTGCATTTATGAACAGTTAATTCATGAACAGTTCATGCTCCGTTCATCAAATATTTTACCTACGGTTCATGAACAAGTGTTCATGAAGTGTTCTTAATTACTCTTCATGAACTATTCGTGAACAATTGATATGAATGAACATTTTGTTTTGCTCATTTGAATATTTCATGAACTGATTATTCATGAAAAATTCATATAATTTACTTGATGAACATGTCATGAAATTTGAATAAACTTCACTAAATCATTTTTATTGTTAAGTTATGTTTGTACTGATTCTTGAACGTTCACGATTTCGCTTTGTTAAACTACCATGAACTATAATTCATGAAGTGTTCTTGGATTTTAGAGGATTATAACAAATCATAATTCTAAAATGTATTAATTTAATGAATGTCTGATACATGTTTAATGAATGTTAATAATTAAACTTTATGATCCTATATTACAAGTCTGAAAAGGATTATAAACTATTCATATACAAATTGCTTAAATCTGAATTTGTTGTTTCTATGTTAATGAAGGTGTTAATAACTACTGTATTAAATTGGTCATTTCAAATTGCGTGACAATTGGAAAAGTGCAATTTCTGAAACATTAGTTGATGCGTGATAATAGTCAATAAAAAAGCTGTCATGAAGGTTTACTTATATATTATTCATTTCTACATGAATCAAACTCAAAAGTCTTTTCTGCCAATTTTATCTGATATCTATAATCAGTTTTGCGCATATTGGCCATGTAGACAGGCTGACGCTCAGATATGCATTTCAAAAATGCAATGTTGATGAAACTACCAGGAAGGGATATAGCTATTGTCAGCGAAATTCCAGCAGTTAGTAGCGCAAATTAAGCGCAATCAAGTAAGTTTAGTGTATAGGATCACAGTTTTTAATACGGCTATAAATCAATATGCCCAGAACGTTTCAATAAATGCGTCGTATCAAATGTTTTTACAAACATAGGGTAAATTACTCGGAACTATAGTTGTCTCCTCACCCTCTAATTGCCATGTAGTTTTACAGTAAATTTCCTATGGTATGACAGCGCAACCACATGGCGCAAATATTGTACAGAGACAGAGTCAAAGTGATATATAAATACTGTGATGAACTGTATATAAGACATCAAACTTTTAAATTTATATACAGTCATCAACTTATTTGAATGAGGAATTTGCCGTCAACTTATTTGAATGAGGAATTAAAAAGGTTTGTAATAGTGAAAGTAGTATTTCATTTCTTAGCATTCGTAATGTTGACAATATATAGGAGCACGCATTCAACCAAGAAATGCCTAAATGACAACACAGATGGCATCGTTGTATTAGAGGAACAGCTATATCGAACATCTAGGTCGTACTTGGTAAGATCTAGACGAGTTTGGAATAAGCTACCAAAAGAAATGCGCAGGAACTCCATCTCTTTGGCTACGTTTAAAACTTTACTTAAGCAATATTACAGTATAAACGCCCTAAACTTGTGTTATGACACTGAGGATGCGAGGACATGGAAGACGGTTTGCGTTAAGTGTAATACTGCCCGTAACCTCTTGACCGCTCCTTCTTGTTGTTTTTAATGTTTTTGTTAAAATACGTTTGTCATGCCTGTCAGTTGTATAATTGTTGTTTTGTCCATACACTTATTGCGTTGTATTTCTGTATCTAAACCATGTGTACGCGGTGGCGCTTCCGAGGGTCTTTGTGTTGTTTACTATAGTTGTTTACTATAGCTGTTTACTGTTTAAATGCAGTTGGAAAAGACCAACTTCAAATCAGCACAAAGGTCTCTGCAATGTTTCCGGCCGCACATGGTCTTCATATATTTATCATAGACTTATTTATCATATAATGGTTCCGCAGTAATTGGCCTAGGCTGTTGTGGTTTCCAGTCGCTAATTTAAAGTGCCTATGACACGAAATTTCACCCCAAATGTTTATGGTTGCATTGTAAAGATTACTTAAAATGACTTAATAATTTCTTTTATAGAATTTTGGTAACTTGCTCCCTTTTCAAGATATTCAACTTTGTTTCATATGCAAATATCACCGGTGTGACATCACATTGCTTAATGAGTTTTCAGAAAAGTATAGTTTTCTTGACGAATACGGATCTAAAAAACTTAAAAATTGCTCTTGTATATGTATTAATTTCATAACTGGTAATTAACCCTCTGTATTTGTTTGTAAAAATATTTTATCAAGGTAAAATATTGCGTTTTCAAAATGTCATTATGCGATGTGATGTCACACCGGTGATATTTGCATATGAAACAAAGTTGAATATCTTGCAAAGGAAGCAAGTTACCAAAATTCTATAAAAGAAATTATTAAGTCATTTTAAGTGATCTTTACAATGCAATCATAAACATATGGGGTGAAATTTCGTGTCATAGGCACTTTAAGGGAAAGTGTTAATAAATAAATAAATAAACCTACTATTAGTAATCTATACGCGATTTTGTTAATGGATGTATGATGAGGTTCATGCCGTTAGTCGCCTTGTTTGCGAGTCTGCCTGGAAGACTTATTATTTCAGTCTCTGTTTCGACAAAGTAAAACAGTTTAACCTGTATACAGTATAGGCAAAACTTGAAGTGTAGCTGTATTATATTTTGGTGAATAATTTCATGTTCTTTTTCACAAACGATTACCATATGTGGTTCATATATTATAATTATACAATTTCATTGACAGACCATTCCCATAGAGTAAAGATTATGAACTATATAGTATAATGGTTTCCTCTCTCTCCTCCGCAGAGGCTTTAGTAGGCTGTGATTTATACGCGATTAGATACATTTCACTACACTTTACATGGCAGATCTTGTAACGAATGGGCGAAGGCGGGAAAGGGCGAAAGTTCATGAGAAAATTCATGAATAGAGCTCATGATTCGTTCGTCAACAATACATTAACATTAGTTCATGAGCTTTTAATGAACAAAAAGGTCCATGAACTTATTCATTAACTGTTACTTTCATGAACTGGGCCATTTAACGTTCATGCACATTCATGAAGAGTTCATGTACTTTTGATGGAAGTTCATGAATAAAATTCATGAATTTATCATGAATAATTCATCAAATTTTCGCCGAGGCAAAGGGCTCGACTGAGAATATAAATCCTAGCTGCGTTATAATAAACTATAATATCAGTTATGCCATAATTTGGAGGTGAACCGCAATTAATATCCAATGGGAAATCAATGTCCAATGATTTGATGTCTGCCGAGCAAAGCGAAGTTAACAAACAAAAAATTTAAATATAAACATCGGTATTAAACGCTAAAACGTTAAAAGCCAACTTACATCAACTGTTTCGATGAAAAACAGTTTTTTACTTAACCCATTGACTGGCAGCACTCTCCTCCTGTTGAGTAAAATTGTCTGGCGTTAGACAGAGTAAAATACTAAAGTAGGGTGCATTGCCACTTAAAGGGTTAACAGGGTGCATGGGCAGTCATAATTAACCCATTGAGTGGCAGAACGAGTCGGACAAGTAAAATACTAAAGTAGGGCGCATTGCCATTTAAAGGGTTAAACTGTTTCATAAAAATACTGCTATGTATCTCAAATTCAACGCTGTGCTGTATCAACAACAATGTTCGGCTGTAGCAAAGATTCCATCCCCAAAATCGCAGGCAATATGGCGAATTCTTCATTAAATTCAAAGGCAATCACTGAAATGGCAATAACTCGGAAACAACTTTATCAAATACTCTGATTTTTTTCAACAAAAAAGAATGATAAATGATTCATTAATTTTAGTTTAAATGAGCTCCCACATTTAAATATATCATTAGATTTTTGGGTGACATTTCGTGGTTTGTGCGAATTTAAGGCTGTGACACTTTGAAGGCCAATAACTTCATAACCCTATACATAAATGGCCAAATATTTTTTTATTCCTGGATTAGAACACATTTATATTCAAATTAATTTTCATCTTGTTGAGTATAAATTACAAAATGAAACGTTCATAAAATGCGCTTGGCCATAGCTCAGGACTGTGTCACAGGACATCTAGTTTACAATATGAAATGGAGAACATGAGCTTGTTGTTCTTGTCCAAAAACTCTGTAACCGAAAAACGCAGTGTTTTTAAATACCTCAAATATGTTTGGAAAAACATAAAGTACAAAATTACTAATTGCAATATAAACAAAGGATGAAAAAGGTGAGAAAATTTTAACATTTTCTGCATTTTCAAACGCAGAGTGCGGAGACAAAACGAAAAGCTGTTTATTTCGCTAATCAGAGCACTGAATATCATCAAAAGGAGATAAACGTTTTGAATATTCATCAGGTGAGAATTTTAAGCCAAATTCCTTTTGTTTCTGTTGAGAAAACAACGGATT